CATTGATGACCGTAAAAGTTTCACGAAGTTTGGAGCAAAAAAGTCACATGAAATGATGAGTTACATTTTTGCTTGAATTGCACTATTAAGTGAATGGAATTATAGGTCATCAACCAAACCTTGCAACGTGGCTCAAACAACTCTACTTACACTCATGAACAAAAGTTATGAAGGGTTCATGTTGAGCAAGTGGCCAGAAAATGCTTCAATAGATCAAAAAGGATAATTTAAACTTTATTGTGATGCTATTTTGACTTGGTTTGAACTATGGGTTAGAGTGTTTGCACGGTAGTGGAACCTAAATACAAGTTGTAGTTCATCTTGTGTATAACAAACTTTGTTTAATGGTCAAGAGCTAAATCAGTGCCTAGCTTAGCCAAACAGAGCTCACAAGAATCAACAAAATGTTGTTTTGGAATCCCAAAATTTAGCCAAGTCTGGGATGACTGAATCTTCGTGTTTCTGTTTTCAAGTACCGTGCTTTGGGAATTAATATCTCACAAACCATTTTGATTAGGACCAAACTACTTTAATCAAAGTTGTAGTACTCGTGTAGCTACACACTGCAATTGCAATTGGTTGAACAAATTGCTAACGGTTTGAGAGAGATATGAAGGGAGAAAATAGAGTTTTAGCTTGTTTTTTGAGGTGGTTTTGATCCGTTCATTCAGATTTTGGAACAGGGGAACCGCATCATGGCGACCATGTAGAGCCAAACGCCCCATCTATTGCCACGTGTCCACTGCGACCCAGCGTGCCCTACTACTCCTGCATCGACTTGAGCTCCTTTCCCACTCCCTCACTCGCTTTTCTAGCTACCGCCACACTGAGCACGACCGCGCTTGCCATGGCCTCCATGGTCGGGCAGAGTTCCTTGCCACCGCCGCCATTCCACGCCTTTGGGCTCTCGCGTCCCACTGCGACGCCACCACCTTAAATGCTGTCGGTCGAGCTCAGTGGCGCCTTTCCCCAACTCTCTCCACCATCTGTAGCTCTGGCCGCCGCTGCGATGCCGCCGTTGCGGCTACCACGCGCGTGGCCAGGCCAACTAGGGCCACCTCGGGCCGACTCGGGCTGCCTCGGACCACCTCGGGCCGAGCCGAGCTGTCCCCGGGGTGAGCATGACTCCCCTGGTGCTTCCCCGCCACTTCTTCTCCGTCTGTGTGCTATGATAAAATTTCATGGTCATTGGATGCAGTATGAGTGAGTTATTGATTTAACTTGTTTGATTCATCATAAATGGTTTATAAATAATTGGTATATGTAAAATATAAAATATAGTTCCTTTGCCTTTGCATGATGATGTTGTGACCTAAGAACACTTAATATGGCCATGTGCTTACAGAAAATATTGAATTTCATATTTATCTTGCTCTCACATGATTTCTTACAATAGCAATTTGTTCTTTTTGTAGTAATTAAATTATAAATCTGAGCATGTAAAATTTGTACAGTGGCCATGTTTTGATAACATCTTCCTCTCATAAAAATCTCAGCCCCAAACTAGTTGTTCTAATATGGCACTAAAAATAGCATATATATTGCATTATATACATAGAGGGTGAAAGTTTGCTAATAGATCTATGTAGTTATTATCCTATGATGCTTCTCATAGCTATTAGTATGTTCTATGATTGTTTGAATATGGTCACAAGCTGTTTAGAGTAGCATGTATGTCAAGAACATGTTAGTTTGTAGGAACTAAATAAAAGATGAATGTGGTATGCCTCAGCTCTCTAGACTGCAGGTACGGTTTTGGTTGTGCAATTAGTTTCATGATGCAAATGATGTTTTCTGTAAATATGGTGAATACCAAAGTTGTAGGTAACTTCATAATCTAGCTTGTGTTAAATTTTAATGACCATAGGCCTGATAATTTAGGAGCTATAGATTTTATAATTTCCCTGTTAGGTTTTGCATGTTTTCTGTACAGATCTGAATGATTGTTTGTTTGACTTAGCTAAGCTTTAAATCATGTCATGGAGATCATATAATAAGTGTAGTGTTTTTCATGAGCTTTCCAAATTGTTAAAGATCACCGCTTTTGGTGATCTAAATCTTCAGTTATGAGCTTGTGAAGTGGAGTGATGATTCTATCCTAATCTGAACAGAGATGTCTTCTTAAGTGATGTTTGACCTAGTTAACTTTGGAATTAACTTGTGGTGTTTATAACAAAGTTGTGAATGGTTTTCTAATATTTCTAAAAGTATAGAACCACCTTGTTGTGAAAGCTAGAACTCAACTTATTGTTGTCTGAAGTTGCATGTCAGATTTTGTCCATGTTTTGGATAGAATTGTTGCTTTGTGTGATTAAGGCCAAATAACTATTGAATTACCTAAAGATGATAATAAGGAAGTTGTAGATAAGTTAATAATATTTCTATAAAGTTAAGGATCATACTTGTTGTATGACTAGAACTCCAGTTATACATTTTCGAAGTTAATGTCAGTTTTCTGTCCTTATCGGTATAGACCTAAGATATTGACATATTTGATCATGTTAACCTACGAATTAGCTTTTGGAATGAATAACAAAGTTTTAGATAATTTAATTAGATTTCCAGAAAGTCTAGGTTCACCCTTATTGGATGCTTATATCTCCAGTTATGGTTAAAACAAGTGACTATTGTGCTGCTGTCCAGATTTCTATACATGTGCTAGGTGATTGCTTTAGCTTGCTCTTGTTTTGGCTAAACATGTTGGTTAGTTTTTGATCGATGCATGTGTGCAATATCTGAACTTAAGTTCACTTGTGTGCTATGCCTAATATTCTTGCTATCCCTCTATAATAGGTTGTGTGATGTTTAGTTAACTAACTCTAGGTGCAGCCACCCAGCCCCGTTCGACGTCGTTTCTTCAGCAACCAACCGCTGCTCCCGTGCGGCGCTTCGCCCTGGCGTGCCGTCCCTCCTCTCCCAGTGCTGCCTCCCCTCCTTGCCCAGCGCCGCCAGCCATGGATCCGCCCAGAACGTCGCCAGCCCTGCTGCTTCTGAAACCTCTCTTCATTGGCCCAAGTAAAAAAGCAATGAGTCCCACACCTCTCCGCCTCCCTCCCCCTCGCCCTGCGCCGCCCGCAATGGCTCTGCGCAAATCCCGCAGCCTCCCCCATCGGCTTCTCCCCACCTGTGGTCGTCAGCGTCTCCGCCCGCCGCGTCCGCGACCAATTGTGGAGGCACAGGTCGGGACATCTCTCCGCCGCTTTGCTTCTCCGCATCCCCATGCCGACGACGATCGGCTGGGCGAGCAGCAAGGCCACTCAGAAGCCGGGTGCCAGGTCCTCTCGCTGGGACCTTCTTCACGAAGAACGCCCCACCAGGTATACCCCCCTTATGTTCCCTTGTTGTTGCTTGCGAAACCAGAGCGCCCAAACCCTAACCTATGCTTTTTGGCTATTTGTATTCGGATCTATGCCTACTACTAGCTTTGATGTTTTGTCTTGAATTTCTGAGATCTTCATTTTCAATAGAGATAGCATCCGCTATCAAACCAACAGGTGAATTGTAGGTACTTTACTTCTGTTAGTTTAGCCGTACTCCTCTACATCTACCAATTACATTCCAAGATAGGACAAATAATAGAAGGCCAAGGTCTCTGACCTGCCAAAGGCATGGGCACAAAGCAGAATGAAAACTGAAACCAAATTTTAGTGGAACAATATTTTTGCTTCTGTAATTTATAAGATAGTATTCCTTTGGGCAATATGAACTCCCAAATGAAATGTACGCAATAAGCAGAGATAGTTGATCTCATCCTTTCGGTGATAAAGGCACTGCCTTCTAAAATTGATGTACCTTCTGATAGGCGGCATCTCCCATTGATGATGCAGATAAAGTACAATTGCTCAAAGGTTAATTCAATTTTCCAGGCAATAATTTTAACAACTTAAATTTTTCAGCATGATGATACCATTTGTTTGCAGGTTCCTTTTAATTTTCCTTAAGTTTAGGTTAATCCCCAACCTATGCAGAGAGTAATCCTGCCTCCAAGCATTCTTGCTACATACTTTTTAGTACGCAGATTGCATCTTTTAATTTAGTACGTGAGATTGCATCTTTAATTCTTTTACTATGTGATTCTAAGGTTTACACTATGCAATTTGTTGCCTTTCTTTGGAACACATGCATGGTTTTGTGCTTATTTTCTTTCCACCAGTTCTATGATTTCTTATTAACTGCTCCCATCATAGGTAAGCTTGTATTGTTTGGTTGGCTGGTGACTTTTGGCTTGTCAGTTTTAGTTTTTGGGCGATACTGTTGCTAATGAGTCTCAGCTTCTATTGGCAGCATTCTATTAGCTGCAGGTAATTTTAGTAATGTTTTGCACTAATATAGTATGTGGTGGTCATTACTAGCTTTGTTTTATGTGTGCTGTTTCTACATATTTGTGTGGGAAACAAAAGACATATTTTATTTCCTACTATAGATTATAGTTGTTTGTAGGTTGTAGCTATTTTTTATGAATAGGCAATAATATATTTTGTTCCTTTCATGATCCCATAGTTCTTATCCATGTATGCTGTGATGATCTTATTTGTGTAAGTTGTAATTGTAATGTAACAGATTCATTGCTTATCTCTCAAGCCTCTCGCCTTGGATGTGTGTCGATTCTTTTGGGACTTTCAGATGTGTCTCGATTCCCTGTAGTGCATCGGTGTTATCCCATGGACTTTCATTTGATTTCCTGTATTCCATGTGTCTGATTCTTTTGGGACTTTCAGATGCTTATCAGACTCCATCTTATCTTTCTCACCCTAACTCGGATCCTGCATTAGACTTGGCATTTGGTCTTCCAATTCCATCTCCAAGATTCAAGCATTGCTCGATGGTGGCATCACATTGTTATAGGAGGAATCATGATCAGCATTTGTCTTCTTCCGTTTGTAAGTGCTTGGTTGCTCCTCTCATTGGCGATTACCATCGCCTTTATTTTTGCCCCCCGCATTTCCCCACGTGTCCCGATCTACATTCAAACTCTACCCATTCCATTCTTTGGGATGCTCCTAATTGCCATGGCCATCATCAAACTTCTTCTCCCGTGCACCATCACCTCCATCTCCTTTTCTTTTGTCCCATGTATTTTCTCGATTTTTATTTGATGCCTCGGGAGTGCTGGACGACTTCTCCCAATTATCATCACACCGCACTGAATCCATTTTAGCACCCTTATCACCCCAAGTATCCATTTCAAATTTGGTTGTCCAGACATGATTGCCTCGCCTGTTGGCTTCTCGGTGCCCCAATCGGTGGAATTGTCCCGCACCTTAGCATGCACTTCCCATGAATTATCTTGATCTGCTGGCTTTGCAGCCGCTCCACCTCCACTACTCCAGCCTCCCCCAATCAGTGGAATATTTTGTGAGTTTTCATTTCCATTTAGGTAGATATAGCAATTTAAGATATTTTGTTACATTTGCTACTTTCTCTCAACTCTCTTGGTGCAATGAGGGGACTGGTGGTAAATTTCTCGATCTACAGGAATTGCTCAATGGATGTTCTCAGCTAGAGGTAGGTTACAACTTACAAATGGTTCGATTTTATTCTCTCGATCACTAGTGTGTCTTGATGTGATTGGGCACGATCATTTGGTTTCTTTATTACATGAATAGAGGAAAGCATGCTCCTAGTGTTTATAATTGTCCAATTAATAAACTGAAGTCAACTGATATAGAAAGTTTGTGGTATACATACCATGATTTGTATCTTGCTTTATATGTTATTACTTATTAGTTCTTGCTTTATATTAGTCATTGATGAGCCACTATGATCGATCTGTACACTTCTACTAGTGCATACCTTACTGATTTTGAATTGGCCTCGACATTGTTCCAACCTTTTCGTAGTCCGAGATCGGCACTTGATTTCTCAACTTTTGATGACCCTAACTGTAAAATCAGTAGTAAGAACCAACGCTTGCACTTGATAAATATGAGCTTATTTTATTGCCATATAACAATCTGATTTGAATATGTATGATTCACTTGCCGTGTGGTTAGCAATGTCAAATGGCCTGTTTAGAAACTTATTTTATTCACTTGCAAGAGTATGTTAGATTGACAATACTACTATGCTTATGTGTCTACATGCCTATCCGCTTGAAATCCCTTATTTCTTAGCAATAATTTGGATGTTTTTTTTTGTGAAATCGCTAATTGGCGTAGCACCTCAAAGTGTGATTCTCTCAACATTTGACTTCAATAGGATGCTCTCTTATTTGTATCATAGTTGTCTTTAGTGTTTTTCTTAGTGTATGGTAGATGTGTTGATACAAGCATCATTTGATATAAACCATGCAAGTCTAGTGTTCATCTTCTTTGTACTTAGGTTTGCGTTTGACATCCGGAAGTTAGCTGCCAAGTTACTACCACTTTCGCTTTTTCTTGATTGTTTTCATCCAGCTTTTTAACATTCTTAATACTGTTTGGCGCTGTGTGAAATGGTTGAGTATTTGTGTGCATGCTCCATTTGGTTTACTTCCATTTGCAATGTGTTCTGATGTCCTTATCTATAATGCCATGTCTTCATTTAATAGAGAATGATATAGTGCACTGACCATTTGTCCAAAATCTGAACACTTTTAGGCATGGGAATGAGTTTGCACCTCATTGTCGGATTCTTTCTCACTACACACCCATCTCGAGGTACTTCTTCCTATTGGCACAAGCATGTGTATTGACCTGCAGAGAGGTTATTTGTACCGAGTATTCTTTATAGGATTAAAATGCATTCTATTCTTTGAGTTATTGACAGTTCATCACCTGTATGCTAAGGAAAATTGTCCTTTTTTATATATTTGGGATGAACTGTTGAATTGATCAATAAATCTACTAGATTATGACTCGTGTTTCTTTTATGTACCTAACCTAATATGATTGTCGCTCCTTTGAATGAGAGTCTCATACTTTGAAAAATTGGTTTGCTCACTTTTCTTTCTTTTTAATCTTCTTTAGTTAATTTAATAGTGTACTATTTCTAGACTCATGAATGTATTAGTTGATCTTCAGCAATAATCTAATATATTAAGGTGGCTGCGTGATTTGTTACATTCTTGTTTTATTAGTGTGCTATTGTTGTAGTATGTTTGTTGACAGTCTTCATGTACATATTCCCAATATTGTAGTCGAATGAGCAAAACAGTGGAGAATATTCTCAATCTGAAAACAACATGGTAGAGACTGCGCAAGGGCATGATAAGGAGACTACCCCTGGACCTGTAAAAGCTACCAAGAGGATAAAAAAACTAAAGGCTTCTAAACACAACTTGGGCACCTCAAATTCTGGAGCAATTGAAGGTATGTTGTTGCTAATTTTCTTATTTAACTTACATGTTCTGCATCATTTGTTGGTAAAAGTTCCATGTTGCCATTTCTAATCGGATTCGTTCATTTAATGGCCATTTATTGGCTTTTACTTGTAGCTGATGGGCTCACATTTTTTATTCAGGAGATGCTGATCCTTCTTTATCTTCGTTAAACCACTGCCGCTATGACAACTCACTAAGTTTGTTCTCCCGTTCTCCCCTGTACCAAATGTAAGATGCTATCTTCGCTTGTTTATTTATCATTAGCTTGTTAACAGGTCTGCTGACAAAGAAGTTCGTCAACCTGCTTCAAGGAGCTGAAGATGGGACCCTTGATTTAAACAAAGCAGCTGAGACATGCTTGTTAACAGGTCAGGCTCAGGCTCATGCAGGCAGCGGGCAGGCGGAGGCAGCCTGTCTCATCTATTTTTGACATAAGTGTTGACTATTTGTGTATTATTTGAATGAAACTTTGTTGGTCATGCACAGAAAGTACTGTATGGAAAATATATATTTTAATATGTTGTTGCTACTGTTTTAAAATAATTTTTTTATGTGTTTAACTCTTTTTTCCTGTGAGGCTGGCTACACAGAATTTTTTTTTTAATCTCGCGAAATAAATTTTTCTGTGAGTTCACCTAAACCGACAGAAAAAACATGTGTTTTTTCTCATGCGCTTATTTCTTTTTTCACGTGGATTACACACGTAAAAATTAGTTTTAATCTGGGCAAACGTAATTTTTCTCGTGCGTGTAACACCCACGTAAAAATTGTTTTCGACGGCGAACACACGTAATAATTGAATTTTTCTCGTCATTATATTTTCGTGGGTATTTTTTCGAGGTACACCGTCGGAAAAATATTTTTCGACGTATTCTCATTTTTCTCGTATTTTCATTACGTAAAAAATGCGAGATTCGAGTAGTGATTTAAACTAATCGATTACGTAAAAATTGTCACCGGAGTGTCGGTTCCCGAACTAGTTGGTACTTAATCTCCGCCACGACTCAAAGAAACGTAATAAGAAGCAAGTTGACAAGTTGCCACATAACATATTTATTGTTTTGACATAAGTTTGAGATAACATAACCAAATAACCACGCAAGTTTCGGATGCCAATATTCATTTGACCTATCAAACAAGGTCGGTGGGCGGCAGACCTCGCCACGTCGCCGTCCCCCGTGCCGACCCTCGCCACGACGTTAGTGCCCGTGCTGCGCCACCATGCATGGGCGCGAAGACAGTATTTGGCAGCGCCAGCCAGGCAATAGCGCGCCAAAAGTGTTAGTTTAAAAAAACGACAGTGTTAGATTTAAAATTATATTAAAAAGGGTTAAAATTAAAAAATTCCCTGCTGGCGACGTTCATGCCTGCGCTCTACAGTCACTTCGAAGCGCATGCGACGTCGGTGCGCGACATCATGGACACAGGCTTGAGAAGCCTTCTGCAGCGGCGTTTGACCACCCAAGCTGCTGCTGAACTTGAGCAGCTGGATGCGGGATGCCCTCCTCCTCGACGTCAACTTCAGCGGCACACCTGACAAATGCTCAAGCTTCTTCGAAGATGACTCCATAAGCTGATCTCCTGAGTGATCTACTGCTCCTCAACTCAAGGTGACCAAGTCTGCCCATCCTTCAAATTCGTTTGGAAAAACTTTGCTCCTCCAAGGGTAAAGTTCTTCGGATGGTTGCTCACCAAGGAGAGGATGCACTGTCGAACGTCCCTTGTCCACAAACACATGTTACAAGAGGCGCAATGTGAGGTCTGCAAAGGAGAAGATGAAACTGCGGACCACATCTTCTCAGGCTGCACTTTCGTCAGGAACTTCTGGGAAACGATCGGGTGGAGGCCGGAAGTGATTGCCAAAGTCACTGAACTATGGAAAACACAACTGCCGCCGAGGGTGCACAAGAAAGCAGCTCACCCCTTGATCATACTCTGCTGTGGGAGATATGGCGATATAGGAACGATGTCGTCTTCAGAGGGCTGGAGCCAAGTGTTGGTCGCCTAATCGCCACTTGCAAGGAGACCGTAGAGGCCGGGAGCTGTAGGATTCCGCGGAAGGAACTCGCGATAGCAAGCAACCGGAGAAACTCGTTCATTATGTAATCTCTCCCCTTCCCAAATTGCTGATTATATTGTAAACTTGTTTGGGCTATGCCCCTCCACCCCCGGGTAACCGGCATCACTGGAAATGAAATCAGGTAGGCATTATTGTTGATCCCCCGAAGTTGACCTCAGAAAAAAAAAGTCTCCCCATATGCGTACGTAAATGCTGCACAGTGGCTGCACTCAGGATTCCGTCGTGACACGAGTAAAACCGGCCGCCGCGATGCACGGCCTCCTCACGTGTACGACACATGCATGAATTCATGCGTGGGCAATGCATCCATGACGCATGCAGACAAACAGTGTGAGTGTACACCGTTCATGTGAGAGAGTAGTTAAGTTATCATAAACCATGACAGAAACGACAGGCCTTTCCAGCGACGGTGCACCTGCCCGGCCGGCTGGATCATATCGGTCGTTTTGGCCCGCCAACCGCCGCCGGCGCCGTTCGCGTCGGTGGCGATTCCATCCGATGCCGCCGCGCGCGCGCGCATCGTTACTTCATCAGCAATTCTTCGCCCTGCTTTCTTTTAGGATGCTCGATCGCCTGCTAACTAAACATGCATATGTAGCTCTGGACACATGCGTGTTCGTTGTTACCAAATTTGACAACCCTCCCCTCCTACTACGTATACTAACTAGTTCCTTGGTGCACGCATATGCATGTAGAGAGAGCCAAAGAAACAAGTATATGGAGGAAGCTGACAAACCACAACACAACATAATAATATATATAATGGAAACCTAATGATGCATTGATGCCTTGGAATCAAATTT